GCGTTAGGACTGCTCCGAGCCCATGCTTGTTCGCGTCCGTCTGTAATGTGAATTTTAAATCAAAATTCGGACAGGCGAGAACTGGTGCCGAAACTAATGTTTCCTTTAACCGCCGAAATGCGTTTTCCTCTTCCGGTCCCCAGTGCCATTTGACATTCTTCTTTGTCAAATTCGTTAGTGGAGCAGCAATTTTTGAAAAACCTTCGATGAATCTCCTGTACCACGAGGCCATCCCTAGAAATTGTCGGATATGCTTAACTTTTGTTGGCGTTGGCCACTTGCTCACTGCATCCGTTTTTTCTGGATCTGTTCTGATTCCGGCTTTGTCTATTATATGCCCCAGGTATTTCAAGCTTGGACGACAAAAGTGGCACTTCTCGGCATTTAATCGTAGTTTTGCTTTCCTAAGCCGCGTAAAAACTTCTTTCAGCACACTTAAATGTTGCTCAAAAGTTTTCGTTGCTATTATAATATCATCAAGATATACTTGCACATTTTCTTTTAGCTCCGGTCCTATAACGGTGTCTAGAAGTCTTTGAAACGTTGCTGGTGCCGAATGCAATCCAAATGGCATCACTCGAAATTGCTTCAGCCCTCGGCCAGGTACTGTAAAGGCGGTGATCGGTCGGCTCTCGGCCGTTAATGGCACCTGCCAATACCCGCTTTTTAGATCCAGCGTTGTTAAGTACGTCGCTCCTCGGAGTTTGTCCAACGTTGCTGTTATCTGCGGTAGAGGATATGCATCCCGTTCTGTTACTTCATTGACCTTCCTATAGTCTACACAGAATCGGTGCTTACCATCTTTTTTCTTGACCATGACGATTGGTGAGCTCCATGCGCTCCGTGAGCTTTCTATTACTCCATTTTCTTCCATTTCTGCCACTTCTCGATCTATTATTTCCTGCATTGCTGGATTCCTTGGTCGATATATTTGTTTAATCGGTTCGGTACCTCTTTTAATTTTTATGCTGTGCCGTACCATGTCCGTCGGCCCTTTGACACTCTCGAAGTTCCGAAATTCTTCCTCTAAGAATTTCTTTAACCGTGCCTCTTCTTCTTTAGTCCGCGGTTCCATTCCTTCTGAGATGGTGCACGTCATTGTGTTACATCGTAATTGTGGCTTTTTATTCGGAGACGGAATTGGTATTTCCATTTTCGCCCATAAGTCTACGCCGATCAA